TCCGATCAGGTCCGGTCCTGGGCCTGGTGGACGCGGACGTTACACAATCCGACTGGACACATGATGTGTGTCGCCGGCGTGATGCATGCCGCCTGTTGTGTGTTTCTCCTGCGCACGCCCGTGGTGTGGTGTGGCCGCCGCTCCCTTGGCCCGCCATTGACGTGTTCCCGCGACGGTGTTGCGGTCAAGGGGTGTGTTAATGTTGTGTGAGATTTGGGCCCGAAAATGAACTCGCTTGCCACGCGGAAGTTTTTCTTACTTAGGCAAGATCCCGCCTGCCGTTGTTGTTGACGAAAGTTTTGGAACAAAGTGCCGACCGCTTTGGGCCGTAATGAGGCATGGTGGTGAACTGGTCGGGCGTGGCGTGGCGGGGCGGGGCGGGGTGTGGGAGCGGAGTCTGTGGGAATGGGTCAGGCAGGTGCTACCGCCGCCGCCCCGCCCCCTGTGCTCTGCTTGCTCTACCGGCCATTGTCCCGACCGCCCGCGTGCCGTGTGCGGTGCTTCCCGATGACACTCGGATACTCTTGAGGAGCCCCCGCGGGGCCAGGCGGGAGAGCTGCTTTGCGGCGGGAGCACTGCCCCTATCTCTTCTTGCGCGTCCCGCGCTCCCGCTCGCCAGATGTGGGGCAGCGACCGAAATGGTCTTATTAAATGCACTTGGTGTGACGGATGCGAGTGGCTGTCCTGCTTGCCGGCCAGAGAGCCATTCTGCCCCGTTGCGATAATGCATGTGGCCTGGTGCCGCGGTCGGTCGGTCTCCTACACTGCCAACAGGCTTATAACCGTAGCGCTCCGCGTAACGGGATGGGCTCGCGGCCAGCGACGACGTCGTTTGCGCGTGTGCCGTTTTTGTTTTCATCATTCGCTTGGTCTCCCTCGGCGGTGCCGCTGCTGTAAGTGCGGTGTGACCGCTGCCGCCGCCTTCGCCTCCGCTACTGTGGTGTGACCTTTCCGATCCCTTTTTCCTGGCTCCCCGACGACGACGACGTGTCGCCCGTTTGTCGTCCTGGTCGGCCCATTGTCGCGGCCGCGGTCACAATGCGCTTGTCCGTGGCTCGGCTCGCCGCTGCTGCTCGTCCATCAGGCATTGTGTGTCGTTGAGAATTACGTGTTAGTTTCTATATCGGCTGCCTCGTGAGACCCGCGCGCTGCAATATGGGGAGTTAGAAGTTTTCAAGTCCGGCCCTTTTCCGGTAAGTTTCGAAATTTTCCAGAAATCTTTTGAAAACTTAAAATATTTCCAGCAAAATTTTTGATAATGAAAATTTTAAGGAAGACACGGTGAGGATCTTAAAGAAAATTATTTTAAAATTTCCAAAAATACTTCACCTGAAGAACATACCCACGGTCCGGTGTACTACGTCGGAGCTCGAAGAGGCGATACTTGTTCATCTTCATTTGTTGCCATGTTTTGTTTACAATCGTGCTGCGGCGGGGTCAGCGGCTCCCTCCGCGCGGCCGCTGGGCGAGGCGTTCACGAAGTTGTAGTGATGGCGATGAGGATGAGCATCTCCCGCGCGCGCGCGCTCCGCATCGCTTTCCGGTCGCTTTCACTCAACTCGCAGCGCGGCGCGGCGACAGCTCGTAAAGCAGCTGCCGCTACCGTGTGGCGGGCCAGGTGTCGCCGCGGCGCTCTTGCTGCCGGTGTCGTCGCCGCGCCGCTGCCGCTTCTCAGTACGGACGCCGCCGCCGCCGTCGCCGCCGGCCTTAGCGGTTCGCCGCTGCCGTGCTGTGCAACCCCTTAGTGCGGCCTGATTGGAGTGACCCTCTTATGCGCCTGCTGCAGCGTGATGGCCTCTCTGCTGCATGGCCTGCTCGGCCTGCTCTCGGCAGCCCCGGCCTCCTGGGATTATTGCGGGGCAAAAGGAAATTGCTCGCGAGATGATCTGCCCTCTCCTGTGCGACATGTCGCTCGCCAGCCGGCGGCGAATTATATAGCCTCGCACGCGGCTTTTGCTCCGCATTCGACCCGTTTCTATTTGCGTTTTCTACTCTTTTTTTACGATCGTCGGTCAAGAGAAGCTCAAGTACGAACGCATGATGTGTTGCGCGCGTATGATGTGTGACCGCTTGTGCGGCAAGCAAGCAAAGCCTCCTCCAAGTGACCTCACACTCGAGTTGTATGTGTGGTTTGAAATGTGGGCTGGTGACCTTTGTTGTTGATCCGCTGACACTATAGGACCCCCCTCCCTGTACTACTCACACACATGAGCGGTGCATTCACCCGGGTCGCACACACGACAAGCCCGCATGAGTACACGTATTTGTGCGGCCGCTTGGTGAGGAAGAAGAAAAGTGAGTCGCGCCCGTTAGCCTCGATTGATCTTCTTCCCTCTCTCTCGCGCGCGGGGCCGCCGCGTCTTCTTTCCTCCCCGTTTCTCTTTCTCATTTATATCCCCGTCTCTATTCTTCCTTCCGAAGCAAAGCGAGAAAATATCTCGCGTCGGTCATGGTTCTTTTTTTTCTAATTCCCCCGTTCCTATCGGTCGGGGAGGGGCATCCCCGTGGCGCGTGCTTGCGGCCAGCGCGGCGCGCACGAGTCTGACTTTTCTCTCTCTCGCTCTCTTTCTCTCTCGCTTATCCCTATACTGTCTCGAGTGCCTGTGTGCACGGGTGTGAGTAAGCACGCCGCAGTTTGGGTGGCGATAAAGCCGGATAAACCGACTCGGCTGTCGTCTGCTGGGAGCAGCGAACTCGCGGGCGGGACCCTTGGAGTTCCGGCCGTGTGGTGTGCCCATACCCCGCCCCGCCCGCCCCGCGGACAGCAGCGGACGACGAGCGAGACACCTCGACCTTGCCGAGTGCGGTGCACCCGCAGCTTTTGTTATCTGCGCATCAGATCGGCAACGCGGCCGCGCCAACCAGTGCGACACGCACGCCTCACCTCACCCCGCCCGCGCTGGTGTGGGTCAGTGGCGTCCGTCTCTCAGGCTCGTGGGAGTGTGTGTTTGTGTGTGTGTGTGTGTGTGCGTGTGTGGTATTATAACTTTTTCACTGCAAGAGCGTGTGACCGTGACGCCTTGTTTCGCATTCATCTTAATTAATGAAAAAGGCTTTGGCCCGCCCGTCCAGCCTCCGGCGCGGCGCCTGCTCTGTGAAACAAACAAGCGCAGGGGGCGAGGTAGGCAGGCCCGCTCGACAGCCGTGCTGCTACATTGCCTACCCGCCAGGCGCTCCACTGCTGACGACGATTTCATATGGTTGTTTTGTTTGTTGGGGGCTTTTTTGTTTCCTCAAAGAAACTTTTAAAATGTTGATAGCAGCGCGTAGTGCTAGTGCCAGTGGCACCGGCGCCAGGGGTTACTTCCAAAAAACTAAAACAAAAAGCCAGTGTCCACAAACCAAAAACTTTAGAAAGAAAATCGCTAATCAAGGAAAATCAATTAAAAAATTAATTCCGAAATCAATTCCGAAATCAATTGTAAAATCGAGAATGAGAAAACTGTTGAATACGGTTGAGTACGGCTGAATTTATAGTGGCGTACCCCTCGGGTGGCGCGGGCGCATTCTAAACCCGCACCGAGGCGTGGACGGACACGCGCGTAATCCGAGGCGCTGGGCGTGGCGCGGCGCGGCGTGGCGCGGCGCGGCGTGGCGCGGCGCGGCGTGGCGCGGCGTGGCGCGGGTTTGATAATCGAATGCGTCCGTTATGAGAATGGGGGTGGCGGGGCGTGGCGGCCGGCCGGCATATTGGCGTGGGACTGCCGCATTGTCTGACGTCACCTCACGGTCAGTCAGTCAGTCAGTCGCAGGGGCCTCCCCGCCGACCTGACCGGCCGCGACTCAGCAAGCGGCTGGCGCAGTGCGTGTTGTGTGTGTCTTGTCTTTTTCCCTTTCTCAAAAGCCTTCCGGCAAGTCGGACTTGAATTGTCGCTTACTTTCTCTGTCCGAGCGCCGCGTGTGTGTTTTCTTTTCCCTCTTGCTTCCCGGTGTTTTATTGAGTTTTTTTCTTCTTCTGTCGCGTGTCGTCTCCTCCCGTTAATGGGTGGACGAGCACATGGCTGATGTTGCCGTCGGGGGGCCAGGCCGGCGCGGCGGCGGGGCGGGGCGACCGGAAGGTCACCGGGAGGCGAGGAAGTGGATGCGTCGGAAGGATAACCAGTGAAGCCCGAGGAGGAGGCCCTGCCCGCGCCGGCTTGCCTTGGCTCGGCTCATCTTGTGGATTCGGCGGGCCGAGAGTATCTCTTACCACATCTCTCCCGCAGCGCCGTGTGCTGCTATGCCTTTGACAAAAACGCCCTCCGGGGCCTCCGGGGACTGTACCACCACCGCTCCACCGCGAGTGTGTGTGTGGGTTTATCGCGGGGCTCTTCCGATTTCCCCTCCTCGTCGGAAATGTACCCGGTAATGACTGTAAGGGCCTCGTACGGGGGATAACGTCCCCGCGGGCGTCCGTCTCTAGCACCACCACCACCACCACCACCGCCACCACCTGCTGAACGAGTGGAAGAAGACGTTGGGCGAGGGGAAGACGACTGGGATCTTGAATACAACGGATTTACCCAAGTCCGAGTCGTGTGTCCCCTTCGGGAGAAGGCTCTGGCTGGCCGGCCTTGGCATTGCTGCCGCACTATTCTGGAGCAGTGGAATATTTCTTTAACCTCGTTTGCATGGTCGTGTCTTTTAAAATCAGCATTATTATTTTAGTCACCTCTGAGCTGAGTGCTGGCTGCGACTGTTGCGCTGGCCTGCAGCATGAGGGGTTGGCACATGGGCCGAGGACCCTGGCCGGGCCGGGCCGGAGCCGGAGGGCTCGCTGGAGGCGCTGTTATTGTTGCGGTCTGCACTGCATTGAGCGTACAATGAGCGAATGTCGGTACGTCCCCCCGGCTGGTCGGTCGGTATGGCCCGCCCGCCCGAGCCATACCACACCGCACGCCACTTTCACTGCCCCCCCCCCCCCCCCCCTCCCCTTCTCCCCGGCGGCTGCGCGGGGCTCGCGGCGCGCGGCTGCGGGGCGGCTCAGTCCGAGGCGCGCGTCTGAGGCGGCCGGATCGTTGTTGCTGCGCTCTGTCTGTCCGCCGCGAACGCTGCAAGCTGCCGCCGTGTTGCTCAGTGTGAACGCGCCGGGAAGGGCCGCAACCCACCCGGCAGCGCGCCCGCTTGTGTGTGTGTGTGTGCGTACACAAACAAAGAAGAAGAAGATGATGATGGTGTTGTGTCTTAAGTGCGTTTACGTTCCTGTGTGTGTTCAGTGTGTGTTTTGTGTGTCTGCGGTGCCCTGACGTTGAGTTTACCGTCGGGAACAGGAGAGATTAGTGAAGAAAACTGGAAGCCGCTGACGGCGCCATATCTTCTTGTCGCCCTGGATCATAATTATGACTATTTTAACTGCCGTTTCACTGAGGGCTGCCGTGGTGGTCTGGGGGTCTGGAGCAGGGTCTCGATGTAATTTGTTTTTTGTTCGTCGTTTCGATCGAGTGAAAGGCGCTCGTAGCTAAGAGGCTCTCCGATGACAGCCTGTCAGTGTATGTGTGTGGGGGGGAGGGGGGGAATGTGGTGCGCGACGCGCGGGCAGCAGATAAGGCTGGGGTCAGGCCCCCGGGGCGGGCCCCGCGCCCCGCTCGCCTCGGGCGAGAGAGGATGCGGAGAGGGACTCATGGTTCTTCACGGCCACGTGCAGCTGCAGCTCTCGCTCTGCAAGTAGTCGCGGGATTGGGCGGATACAGTGACTGTGGCCGCGGGGCGGGGCGGGGTACCGGGCGACATGCTCGACGGCGAGGTGGCAGGACAGGCATGGGGGGTGGATTAGCGTCATTATACCGGTGCCCATGAGCGCTCACTGCGTGCGTGCGTGCGTGCGTGCGTGCGTGCGTGCGTGCGTGCGTGGCCGGCTTCCTCCGGGGCGGGTGATGAAAGTGCTGTCACAACGGCATTGTCCTCTGCTGCCGAGCTGAGCCCTCCCTCCGAGGCCGACGACGCCGACCTGCCGCTGCTGCCGGCGGCCGCAGTCCGGCCCGCGACACCCTCCCCGGCATTGTTGTCGTGATGACCATCGGCGCGTGCCGCGCGCCTACAGCAGCGCCCAGCACAGCACACCCACCGGTCTTCATTCGCGAACGCTCGCCGCCCATTGAATGCGCGCGTACATTATTTCGCACGTAGTTACGCCGTGTTGTATACGCCGCTCTATTCAATTGAGTACGTGCGTAATGGGTCGTTCGCCGGCTTACGTGCGGGCGTTGCGTTACCGTACTAAATAGTACGCGTACGTGGACGTGCGCGGCGCGCTGTTTCGGTCGTATCCCCCTCCTTCATGTCGGCAGCATCCTCCTACTCCGTTTCCTCATATTTTTGCGCGATTCCTTCGCCCCCCAGCAAGCAGTTTCCAGTTTCCTTTTGCCGCCTTCAATCGCGGGGCGATGGCGCTCGCGACTTGCGCGCGGGGGAATTCCATCATCTTTGAAAGGGATCCCGAACAACTGGCGCAGCAGCGGCGGCAGTGAGAGGGGAGAGGGAATAATAGCGCACCGAGAGCGTGCGGGCCGGGGTGTGCAAGCCAACCTTGAACCGTGACTCTCTCGAGGATTTCTCTCCCTTATACTGAGTAATGGGGCTTTTATCGACGAGGAAGAGTATCGGGGGAGAGCTCTCTTTAGGTCGCGGGGGCGTGGCGGCGGGGCTCGGCGAGGGCGAGGCGTGCGGGAAGGGCTCTGCCGGGTGCGATACAAGGCCTGGTGAAATACATGCCGTGGGGGAGTGGGGTGGGGGGGGGGCGTGGGTGAGATCTGAGCTGCTGCAGGACGCGACGCGGCGGCACCGCACCCCGCCAAGCCACGCCCTGCCACGCCCCGCCGCGCCGCTGCGCTTTAGTCGTGACTTACTAATTGGGACCGGTATGGATTGTCTCGCTGCTGGAGTGTAAAGGCGCTGCCGGTGCGCCGGCGCACAGCTGGGGGCGCGCGGGAGCCGCGCCGCGGTCGCGGCGGTGACATTTCGTCTTTTTGTCATTATCTATTGTTTTGTCTTTTTCTTGGGTGGGTGCTCCGCCCGCTTGCTCCGCGCTCGGCGAGCGCGCGTCCCTCGCGTGACACCCACCCATGCTACATACTCGCGTCTTGCAACACGAGCCCGCCCCGTAGCGGCCCGCGGGTCCCCGCCTGCCATTCTGCAGCGCCGCGCCGCTACTGGAATCGGGGGCGTACACCACCGTGTGTCTCACTACTCACCTCCCGGAGGTGGCGCGGGGGCGGCGGGGAGCGGCTTGCACCACACGGAGCCCCGGGCCGCAGTTGCACTACTCGGCCGATGCCGATCTGGACAATTAGCTTCCCTGATGGATCGGCAGTCTCTCGCTTCCGTTTCCGACGCCGCGGTCCGTACGGACGGCGTGTACCTTAGTGTACCTTACTGTACCTTAGTGTACCTTAGTGTACCTTAGTGTACCTTAGTGTACCTTAGTGTACCTTAGTGTACCTACTCGAATGAAGCAACTGCGGCCGCGGCCTGGGATTAGCGTTGCTCTTACGGCGCGGTTGGGTTGTGGGCGTACCTCGCGCGCGGTGAGCCTCGGTGAAACGGCAGGTCACTGGTCTTGCAGATGTGGTCAAGGTGTGTGCGGCGGTGGTCATCGAGTAAGGAGAGACATGTTCGCCGTCGACCCGGTGCTCAGCTAGCATGAAGATCCGACACTACCCTGGACGCGCCGTGCTGGACAAGAGCCCGCTGCGTGACGGACCGCTCGACTCGACGTCCGCGATGCTGGACAGCTTCCCCCTGGGCGACGGGGGCACCGCGTCGTCCGACATGCTGACGGCCAGCGAGTGGCTGCAGGACCCGGTGGACGGGCCGCTCGTGCCCGCCAAGGGGGCGGCCATGCCCGTGCTGCTGGCGGGCGGCACCCTCGGCAGGATGTCGTCGTACCACGACGGCCAGCCCCGTCGCCGCCCGCTGCCCGAGCCCATGATGGCCGCCAGGACGGTCCCTCGGCCTGCGCCCCGGCCCAGCGCGCGCCGCAAGCCCGAGGAGCGCCAGCGGCCGCCGTCCCCGGGCCGCGCGCCGCCCGCGGACACGTACGACTACCGGCCGCAGCCCCGGCCGCTGCCACGGCCGCGACAGATGCTGGAGCGCCCCCCATCACCGCCGACGCCGCCCTTCTCGGCGACGTCGTCCTCCGGCTCGTCCTCGCCGCGTGGAGACTCCTCGTCCTCGTCATCCTCGGAGGGGCGGCCCTCGGGGCGCCTGGCCTACCCGACGGGCACCTGGGCTCGCAGCCGGGACCTCAAGACGCTGGCGCTGCGTAACTCTCGCTCCAGCCAGGGCTCAAGCTCCAGTCACAGCTCGGGCCAGGGCTCCAGCCAGAGCAATGGCTCCAGCCAGGTCTCCAGCTCGGGTTCCGCATCCGCCTCCGCCTCGGCCTCGTCGGGCTCCTCCGGATCCTGGTTCCGCGGCAAAGACTCTAAGGCCTCGTTCTTCGGCACGTGGCTGCGTAGCCGGGCCAGCTCCTCGTCGGGCAGCGAGTCGGGCAAGAAGTCTTTCCCCGAGAGTTGGTTCAAGACGATGGACCGCAAGAAGACGCCCAAGGTGTCGCCGGGGACCTTGCACGCCACGGCGACTCTGCCGCGCGGCTACCTCTCCGGACTGCCCGCCTCCACGCGTCTGCCGGCGCACCCTACCAATGGCACCAGCCACGAGGACTCCTCATCGCGGTCCTCGACGCTCCAACGACCACCCCCGCCCCGGGAGCGGCGGCGCAAGACCAAGCAGCAGGACGAATCTCCTGCGGGGTCCTCCAGCGACAGTGCCGGGCCCCGCGGTCCCCTCCACTACCCGGGCCGGCCTCAGCGCCAGCTGTCCCCGGACGACGCGCGCCTCGTGGAGGGCTGGGCACGTCCCCCACTACGGCTGCCTAGCCCACCCAGGATACCCGCCCCCGAGCCTCCCGGGCCACCCGCGGCTCCCACCCCGGCACCGCTGTCCTGCTCGCCGTCCAGGTCGCCGCCGAGGTCGCCCGCCGGCGAGGACGTCGGCGGCGACTTCACCATCCCACGGCCGCGCCTCGTGCCCTCCGTTCACACCTGCGGGGTGCGCAAGCGGCGCACGGGCAACATGCTGCAGCCCGGCGACCAAGGTGAGTCACGTGGGGGACACGTGCACCGGGGCGACACCGGCCCGCTGCGCGCCCTCGGCCGTGGCGGTCATGCTCCGCGTGCGACCCGGCCCTGCCCTGCCCCGGACGGCCCCAATGTCACTGGGCGTGGCGGCGCGTGGCGGCTGCGCTCGCGGGGGTGGCGCCCCCCGGGCCCCGCGCCGTAGGTTGTCGCCCCCGGTTTGCCCGCTGCAGGGGGGACGGCGGCCGGTCGGCACCACGCTACAAAGCGCGTAATGTACTTCGCTCCGGCGGTCGGCGCGGTCCGCTCTGCCATGCTCTGCCACTACACTATTAGTCCAGTCATATTGTGTTTTGACCCGGACAAAATTCCGAACAGTACCAAATTTTGGGGATCGTTTTATGG